GGGAAGTTCAGAAGGCAGGAGGAGGGGAAGAAAGAACCCTTTCTCTTCCAGTTCTGGCACCACTCAGCTTTGGCTCCCATTATTTCCGCATCCAGCCCCAGCACTGAGCATCAACTGGTCATTCCCAGAACTGTCTTGACACAGTCTGCCTCCAGGGTTCCAGTACCCAGTCAGGCCCCCATTCTCTGCAGTCGTGGCCTCTGGTAACTGACTTCCTCTGTAATTTCCCAGCCTTAAATATAAGAACATTTGCTGAAGTGCTAATCTTTGCATGACATTAATGTCCCCTTTTGGCTCTGTGAGTTCTTTCAACCTCTGCAGCACCAAAGCCCTGTGTTAAATTCTCTCTGTTTGAAAGACCTGAAGCAGTTTCCATCTTCCTGACTGCACCCCAGTTGACACGCCCCACATGTCTACATCCATAGTGGTTAGAAGAGATACTCCCAGGACTTTCACGGATTCCTCCTCAGCACCCTGGTTGTGCTATCTCAGGCACACTTCCCCGGCTTTGATCCTACCTGATAATAACATCTATAGTGTACTATCATTTTATGTGCTTTGCAAACATTACCCATAATTATTATGCCTAACCTAGGGGGCTATACAATATTTTAAAATATTAATTGTCAATACTAAGGCCGAGGTCACACAGTGATTCAAAGGAGGAAAGTCTGGATTGGAACCAAGGCCTCTCTGGCCCTCACCAACCTCTTCCCTCTACTCTCCTGCATTCTCTTTCCTCTTATCTCTCTGTGCAAAGGCCTTTGGGGCTCCTTGAGCTGTGCTTTCAGGCTCCTTTCTTGTCTCCTTGCTTCCTATTCCTTTCTTTCTTTCTATTACCTGAGATAAGATGTCTACCTTTAAAAAGAGTCTCCTACTTCCTGCCCTCAAAGGGACTGAGTTCTGACCACTTGGTTCCTAAAGAAGTTCTTTTCTACGGTCTCAGATCTTGCTAGGACCACCCTTACAAGCCCAGTCACTTAACCCTCTCCTACGGGTCTGACTTTCACCTTGGCTTGGTCCTCTCCCCTCAGCTGGGCCTTCTCCCACTTGGAGAATCTTCCACTATTTGCATAACAAAGAGAGCTGACCAACTCCCATCTGATGGGGGTGCAGGTCTTGAGAGGTAAAATGAGAGAGGATATTAGAAGCTTAATAGACATCCTGAGGACATCTGCTTTAAAGATTATTTAGGAATGAACTAGTTATGGCTGAAGTGCTAATACAGACATTAGATATTCCAAGACAGAGCTGCTTCTCCTCTGCACCCTCAAGGTTTGCCTGACAGTACTCATTTATACTCTATTTTATAAAGTTTGGGGAACCTTTTTTGTTGTTGTTGTTCTGCGCTTGGAACCCAAGGCCTTATACATGCTAGGCAAGAGCTCTACCACTAAGCTATGCCCCCAGCCCTGATGAACTGTTTTGAACAATCTGTGCAAAGATAAATTTCAGTCCCAATAGGTCAGAACTTAAACATAATTTGAAAAACAAACTGATAATGTCAAATTGTTGGCATCCAGATACCCATTTTCTTTCTTTTAGATTTGGCTATCAAGGCAAAGGTAGAAATGGAGAAAACCAACACTGAGATTTTTTTTTTTAAAGGAAGAACAGGTACATTTACTAAGTATGTGCAATTTGTCAAGCCCTGTGCTCAAGGCCCCAAATGCCTTATCTCATTTAATCCTCATAACAATCCCCAGTGGTGGTTTCTAGTACAGTTACAGCCTCCATGTTATAGACGAGGCAACTGAGTCTCAAACAGATTAAGAACCCTGTCCCCAGGCTTTGCTGGAGGAGGCAGGTGTCACCTGCCAGCTTATCCACGGGGCCGCACCCTTAACCAGCATGCCACCTGTCTCCCCTTACTGGCCAGTCCCCAGTTCCCGCCTGGCACGTCTCTCCTCAGCAGTTTGGCCCTGAATACACTTCAGGATAACTTCCTTCATTGTGATAAGCAGGGCCCACGATCTCTGACAGCTGTTCCCCGCTCTTCATCATCATCTGAAACAATCAGTAAGCATTAGAGAGTACTTTTCCCTTTACAAAGGTGATAATTAGATAACAAGCTGAGATTAAAGTAATTACAGTTAGACAGCTGGCGAGGCAGCACAGTCATGTTGAAATATTGTTGGTACTTCAGCATCTGGTTCTAATAACAGCATAGGCTAAAGGATTTTACATTAATTACAGAACATAATTTAATATAAACATATTTAATTACAATTGATGAGCGATAAACTATTCAAGAATGACTTAACCCCTTCCGTTGTGTCAAAGTGATGGGAACTCTGGGCAGCCTGTGGCCTGTTCCGCTGTCTTGCTCACCCTCCCCAGCCGGCCCTCCACCACTCCCTGGCCCACTCTCCTGGAGAAACCCCCTCAAGGAAGGAAGGTTCTAGGCAGCTCAGGCTGGGATGCGGCACTGTGGCCTCAGCAGCTGCTCTCCTCCTGGACCAAGAAGGCAAGTTCACCCTCCTGGCCTGATCGTCCCCGCATCCTCTCTCCTCCATGGCTTTGCTTCTGACAGTCCATGAGTGGCCTACTAAACAATTCTCAGATCTCTCAGAATACATTTAAAGGTAATCCATCTTCTTTACAAAACCATGACCAGTGAGTCCCTGGGCACAATATTCAGGGTATTTTCACCATTTGAGGGTCAATATGTCCTAACATCTAGACTTCTACCTGGGAAAAGACACTATTCTGGCAGGAATTCTCCCTTACAAGCTGCCAAAACCTCCATCTCTACCCCAAAACTGGCAGAAGTAGACCTTGGTGAAAAGCAGTTTATAACAAATTCGGATCCCACAGAAATCATCTCCACTGGATAAAGGACTCAACCGTTCTCAACACGGTCTTTCCAGACATCCCTTCTTAAATGAGAGATGTTCCAAAGCCACAAAAAACAAACACTGGTTGTACTGAGGTGTCTTAAGAGTTCACCCAAAGAAGGTCCAAGGCTGACTGTTCCTAAGAAAGACGGCATAGCCCTGTATGCATTGGAAAATTCACCATCAAATTTCCCCACTTGACAAATGATGGGTAATTAAACTTCAAATACTGTTTTTTACCTTTTGCTGTGGATTTTTAAAGTACAAAGCACACATTCTCCTCAAAGCCAAAATGAGTGCTGCAAATGACAGTTTATGATTCACAAGTAAGCAAGTGTAATCTGCTTTCTAGAGGAATTACTGACAGATGCATAGAAAGGGAAATAAGTGTGCAGACTCAGGACCAAGCAGCTCGCAAGAAACAGGTGCTCTCCAAGTGGAAGTTGTACCACACATGCCCTTTTGAAAAAAAGAAGCAGTGTTGTCTGAGGATGTAGCTCAGGGATAGAGAGCTTGCCTAGCAAGTGTGAGGCCCTGGGTTCCACCCCCAGCACTGGAAAATAAGAAGAAATTTAAGCAAATCTGCAATCTGAGTGAGAACTCTAAGGTATTTTTGATAGATTAAGCACTCCTTTGGAAGTGAGGGAGGGACCAGAATGAAAAGACTCCAAAAGATGTCTATCACAAAACTTGCACACAAAATGTTCACAGTCGTATTATTTATAACAGCCCAAAGAGCTAACAATTCAACTATCTTATCAACCGATTAATAAACATACGGTGGCATAGCCACACAATGGAATAGTATTTAGCCATATAAAGGCACAGAGTACTAGTAGATGCCCTAACATAGATGAACCTTGAAAATATCATGCTAAGTAAAAGAAATCAGACACCAAAGACTACAGACTGTGTGATTTCACTTATAGGGAATGTCTGTAATAGGCGAATCCATAGAATTAGAAAGTAGATTAGTGGTTATCCATGGGTGGGAAGAGAGGGGAATTGAGAGTGAGGGCTAACAGATATGGGACTACCTGTTGGGGGTATGAAAATATTCTGGAACTTGATGGTGGTGGTGATTGCATAACATTGAGAATTTACTAAAAGCCATTGAATTGCATACTTTAAAATGATTAAAATATTAAATTAAATTTTATCTCAAAAAATGTTTTTTTAAAAGCTACCAATCTAGGTAATAAACTTAATCCCACCAGGGAATCCCAGGAACCTGTGTAAAGTATACACCGCAGGGTGATCTCACCCAGAGGGGAGGAAGCTGGGAATTTATACACTGACTCCCACCAGCCAGTAGTTGAAGGCTGATTCTGGAAAGGCACCCCCATTCCTCGGCATTTCTAGTCTGGCTGCAAAAGGGACTCCGGTGGCCAGAGAAAGTCCTTAGACAAGAAAATGTCGATACTGGCAATTGCCAGCCAGACCAAGTCTCTGTTACCCTCTCACACACTTGCTTTGAGATTAGTATAAAACGCTTCACAGAGCTGGACTTAATTCTTGATAAATGTGAGTTATTTTTATGGAAGACTCAACACGGGCTCAACAACTTGATCAAAACCACACAGCTAATGCAAGGTTGGTTATTTACACAAGTCTTTCTATAGGACACAATCTTCCATATAGAGAATTAAATTAACTCAATACATACTCACCAATCTTGCAAACACACCAATCAGAAGGCAACTGTTATCAGCATTCAGAAGATACAATATGCATCTTCACATCTTCCCTCCCTCTCCCTGTTAGGTGTCCTCAGTGGAGGAAGCAGCTGCTTTTCTCACAAAAAGGCCTTGAGGATTGATGTTAATATCTGCTCAAGTTGCCCAGCATGTGAACATGATGTGGTTTATTGTGTCAGTTATTTGAGACTCAAAGCCTGTGCATTTGCTGACAATTTACTGCAAAGAATCAAGATACACGAACACCTGAGACTTCAGGACACGCACAGCAACACAGTCCTCACTCACATATAGATCCTTCTGTTCTCCCCTGGAATAACCTGAGCTACAGGCCTCTCTACAAAAAAGTTGGGCATGCAGAGAAAAAATGGAGGGATATCGTCTCAGGATGCTCTACTTGAATTCCCAGCCAAGGATGCCTTAGAGGGTCAAAGTGAGGCTCTGGAGCTGCAGAACCCATGCTTACCTGATCAGGTAATGGTTGATAATGGTGTCGAAGTAGCTGTAGTACACGACATTGTTCACGTGCCCATACTGGTCATTGTCCTGCCATCTTGTCTGGATGGGCAAGAAGTACCCGTAGGCCTTGTGCTGCCGATGACAATCCTCATGTCTCTGGATCTTGGATGAAGTAGCCAAGGAACAGGCATTCCTAGGACGCATCCTGGAAACCCAAGAAGCCATAGTGCCCGCTGCCTCGGAGAGGACCTTCAGTGAGAAAGCAACAGTGGATAAGAAGGTTTTTCAGAGAACTGGATTTTAGTTTTGCAAAAGCATCTACATTGAATGTTGGCCACTGGTTTCAAAAGAACATTAGGAAATAAATCTGCCTTATAATCTAGGTCCTTGTCACAAACTCTATGAACCTTTTTAAAGAACTCCTTACTAAAAAGATTTCTGGCACACACTACCAGAAGCAGGTGAAGCCTCTGTCTGAATTTTACCAGGAGGAATTTATAGTATGTTTATATGGAGGTGTTTTATTCCATGAAGTATTTTCAGTGAGCTGAAATCTACAAGTCCCTAAGAGTAGAAAAGCATAGCTCAGACCATCAGTGTAAGATAAGATGTTTACCAGAAGACATTATCAAGAGGGCCTGCCAACAGTTAAGTTTTTTTCCAAAAGTATATTAATTTTTTCACAAATCATGCTCCATAGAAAAACATTTAAATATGCATCTACAAAGGGAAGAAAATCCAACAACCCCAAAATACTCAGTATTAACAATTCCATGTATATTATTCTAGTTTTACATACATAAGTGTACATTTTTAATAGGATCCTAATGGGATCAGACTGTATATGTTGTTTTATAATCTCCTGCTCTAAATAGTAAATCACCAATGTACTTGGATATTCTCCATCTTCTGTAGCATTAAATTCCATTATATTCATTGCATTGATGCACCAGAATTTCTCAAATCCCCTATTGTTTCATATTTAGGATTTTTATTCCCATTTTGGTCATGGGAAAGATCTTTACCAATAAATCTTCACGTGTATTCATGATTATTTTCTTAGGATAAATTCCGAGATGCAAAATTGCTGGGTCAAAGGGCAGATGAAGTGTTAAGGATTTTGGTATAAATTAATGCCTTCCAGAGAGGTGGTACCAATTTATCCCCTCCCCAGCAGCGAATGAGCAAGCCAATTTCCCTGTCAATTGTAAAATGCTTTGTCAATTTGACTGTGTTCTCTCATTTCCATACAAATTTAATGAAATGTGCTAAGTGGAAAGATGACTGCTGCTACTAGCAATGATGGAATAACTAGTATCAGAATAACCCCTCTGTTTGAGAACAACTATGAAAGCCAGATTAAACGTAAAAGAAGAGCTGTCGGAAGGTACTGAGAAATAATGAAGGCAGCAGGACTTCAGAGGCTGCATTCCTGGGGGCAGGGTGACACACGTGGCATTTGCCACTTCTGCTTCTCATGGGGTATTTGCCAGTTGCCACATGGGGAATAAAGGCTGAAGAGAGAGCAGCAATCCATATCTTGTGTGGTTTTGCTGCACTGGAGGAGGAGATAATTTTGAAAGGCCTATACCATCCTAGAGAAAAGTGTTTTAGAGAAACGAGCATACAGCTCCCTCTCAGCACCGGAAGCTCCTCAGCAGCTCTGAACAAGACAGAGAAAGCAGCAAGCAACTGTCACGAAACTGAAAGTCTATGGAGAAAATAGGAGTCTCATAGTGCTGAGGATACAGAAATCAGCTTGCAGAGCTTCTGAGAAGGACAAAATCCTCAGCAAAACTAGCAATAAAGTGAAAAGACATCCCTCCGAACAGGAAAAATATTTACAAATCACATACGTGATAGAAACCTAGTATTCAGAATATATAAAGAAATTTTACAACTCAACAATAAAAGGACAAATAATCCCATTAAAAATTGGGTAAATGAAACAGACATTATTATTACTGTGTGTATATATGTGAATGCATGACCAATGTGATTCTGCAACCTGTATACTCAGAAAAATGAGATATTAAATCCCATCTGATTCAAATGTATGATATGTCAAGGTCATTGTACTGTCATGTGTAACTAATTAAAACAAATTAAAAATAAAACTATTTAACTTAAAAACAAAAAATAAAAAATATTTGGGTAAAGAACTATTGTGTTCCTTTTCCCCTGCTACCCAAAAAGGGCTACTTCTTCAGAGTAAGTACAAATCTCAAATTGACCTACATTAGCTTTTTTTTTGGGGGGGGGGTCTGAACTCAGGGGCACTTGACCACTGAGCCACATCCCCAACCTTATTTTGTATTTTATTTAGAAACAGGGTCTCACTGAGTTGTTTAGCACTTTGCTTTTGCTGAGGCTGGCTTTGAACTCGTGATCCTCCTGCCTCAGCCTCCTGAGCCGCTAGGATTACAGGCGTGCACCACTGTGCCTGGCACTTATATCCGCTTTGATCAAGGTTTTAAAAGTATCTGACCCATGTCACCTGTCATTCAGCAGAAAACCAAATTCTTTCTAGCAGAACATGATAGATATCTCCAGAATCTCTGCAACTTTTTATATACAGGATCTGGAACTCAACAAAAAACTACAAGGCCTACCAGGAAAGAAGTATACATGACAAAAAAAAACCCAAAGGAATTTTTAAAAATCCAATGAAAACAGCCCCACAGACTCAGATTTTAAGATAACTATGATTAAAATGCATCGGAAATTAAGAGTAATATCCTTCCTACCACATGAAGAATTCTAAAATTGGGGAGGGGGGGGAGATGTCAAAACCCTCACAGAAAAGTAAGCAAAAGTCACAAGCAGACAAGGCACAGAGAAAGATACTTAACGTGCTCTTTGAACATGAAAAACTGAACAACATCTTTCATAATAAGAGAAATGCAAATTATAAGTACACGGAGATACCGTTCTCAATTATCAGATTTGGTACACATTACACAGCTTGATAGCATCCTCTATTGATAGGGCCTTTGAAAGGGCCTTGAGGAAGGCCCTATCAATACATTGTGGGTAGGAAGGTCCCCACCTTTAAGGAGGGTAATGTGACAATGTCTACTAAAGCCATCGTGAGTTTTAGCCTCCAACTCACAATAAGAATACACCTTGAAGATGAACCACACAAAAATACCTATGACAAGATGAACCACTGTTAGTAATGGAAAAATATTGGGGGGAAAACATCTTTAAGAGATTTGATTGAATAAGCTATAGAACCCTCACACAATGAATATCACACAGCAGGAAAGAGACTAAAGAAGATGTGAAAAAGAAAAATCAAAGTGCAAAAAATTATATAGTATGCTATTTTGTGTAAAAAATAAGGGGAATTAAGATAACATAAATATATTTTCTGTACTTATATTTACAAAATAATAACTCAGGAAAATTGAAGCAGAAACCAATGAACCGGTATTAACAAGGGGGATAGAGGAGGAGAGGAGAGAAACACTGTTCTGAATACACCTTTTTATGTCATTTTGAGTTTTGGAACCAGGTTAATGTTTTGGAAGAAGATGATGATGATGTCAAATTTATGATGGAGGGTGGAGAAAACCTAAAATGGAATATAAATAGAAACAAATGAACTTTACTGGATTTCAAACGAATCACATTGACCAGGGAAAAATAACTATTTTTGACTATACATCTTCAGTCTAAAGATACAAAAATCTGTTAACAAATTGAACAATAGTTAGAAGCTTTTTGTGTTTTTTTTTAATGTTCTGTTTTGTTTTGTTTTTATAGTAATAGGGTTAGCAATTCTCAGTCTGCTTCTTGTGACTCGAAGCCCAGACAAATGAGTAAATACAATGAGGTTTGGATGAACCAGGTTCTCACCTGCAGAAAGAACTTGCAAATACTGTACAGAGAGAAGCAAGACTAAAATGAATCTTCTGGTGTTAGACAGAATTTGGGAGTATTGATATGAACTCACAGATTCAAGACAGAGATTTTGGAGATGAGATCCCCTAGTTCTGTTGAGCCTAGACCCAAAGGCACTCCAGTAGCCCTTAATGCCCAGATTTTAATTTCTAAATACCATTCTCCACAAAAGGGAACCACAGCTCTTTGAAGAAATGACTGTTTCAGACATTGAGGCAGAGAAAGTAAAAGGCGATCCTGCAGCATCCTGTCAGAAATGCTCAAAGATCGTGAGGTATGCCAAAAGTTCAAGGAGCCCATGTCATGGACTCCCATTGGCTCCATCTGGAACAGTTGAACATCAAATTCGAAGAAAAAGACTTTCAAAGCAACAAGAGCAAGTGGAATTATCCAATGGAAACAACAGTGGACAACACAAAAGAATAACATTTTTCAAGTACTCAAATCATTGCAGTGCTAGAATTTTATACCCAAGGAAACTATTCCTCAAAAATGAAAGGAAAGCCATAATTTTGAGATGAGCAAAACAGAAAATTCATCCTGAGTCGACCTATAATAAGAGAAATGCTAAAAGGAGCTCCTTAGGCAGGAGAAAAAACATCCTCAATGAAAGAATAATAATGCAGAAAATAAAAGCAATGGAAAGGGTAGAGAAGTGAATAAATTTGAATTGACATTGACTATTTAAAATGGTAACAAAAATTTCTTCTGTGCTTTAGAGATATAAAATTAAAACTTCCCACATCAGTAGCAGAAGAGATAGGAGAGTACATTTGGTTCCAGTGCTATAAGGTACCTGCATTTTGGGGCAAGTGATAACAATCCTAATTCAACAATGATTACAATAAATTAAGGATGCATGGCATAACCTCCAGGATAATCCCCAAAATAGAAAAAAAGTGTTAAACAATCTCAACCCTAAAAAAGCAATACTTGAGGTAAAAGAAAAAAATAATGAGACCAACAAAAAAACAACATTAAGATAAAGGAATTGAGTGAAATGGTAATAATTACATTAGTAATGATTAAATACTCCAGATAAAGGGCAAAGACTGTCAAGATGAATTTTTTTAAAAATCCAAATACATGTTACTTATAAGAAATTTATCTTAAATAGAAAGATTCAGAAAAGTTGGGAGTAAAAGGGTAGAAGGCATATGTTAATAAGAAAGGAAGGCTGGTATATATATGCTAGTGGCAGAAAAAAAATAGATCTTAAGAAATATTGTTACATTTAAAAGAAGGGCTTTTGATAAAGATAAAAGGTCATTTCAAAATGATGATCTCATAACATAGGCTCAAATACAAGAAACAAAAATTAAGAAAGCCAAAAGCACATTAGA